CATGGACCTGGAACTCAGACTGTTAATACCTGGACTTTAGGAGATTAACAACTTAGAATAAAAAAGCTCACCTTTAAAAAATTACTCCAGAGTATTTAAAAGCACTGACCCATCAAGAGTTTAACAGACTGCCAGTGGTCTTTCATTACAGCCAGTGACTTAAAATAACTAAATGCACTCAACATTTAACTCTGTAAGAACTGAATCTAGAACAGCTCTTTTTCAAAGGCCTTAATTTTGTTTTGCAAAGAAGAAATATCACTGTTTTCTGTCCTGTGAACATCAAAAAGTGTGAACTTATTCTTTATCAAAGTAAGTTAGTGAATTATAGGTAAGTAATAAACATTTCTAAAAAGTAAGACCAGCTATTTAGTGTTCATGACAATCTTTTCCATCAGCTGTAAAAGGCCTTGAAGGTTTAATATGATGCAGTTAAGCACCTATTTTACACTGGTTGATGGAGAAGCAGATACAATTCCTGGTTCTGACTCTCCTTCTTGTCTGTTTCAGACACAGCCTGGGGGATGAGCTAGGCTAAGCTCCCACTTCCCACCATACACACTGATCACATGGTAAAAGATCGCTTACCTAGGAGGCAACTGCTACACAAGTATTTTAGTCACTTTGCTCTTTTAGGATTAATACATGTAAACTCTGGAAATAGTTACGCAGATATATCAAGCCCCAGACTTCAGAAAAATGACCGGCTGCTATACTTTACCTGCTCCTTAACTGGTCTCAGTTTAGCAGAGATAAGCAGCACATAAAAAAGAACTGGTCAAAGGTCCAGAGTGGTGGAATCACGGAGCTGCAGCCAGCAAGACCAGGCTCCCCTATTTGCAAGTGAGAGTTTCCTGTTTCTGCTGGCCTCTTAATGCTCATGGCATTTGCTTTAGAACCATAAAAATGAACAGCAAACAAAAGTTTTCCTTCCATCATATTTTCTTCTTCTTTCTAAAATTGCTTACTAGGTCAACTAACAGTACTGTGTCACAGTGCTCTCAGCTTTCTCTCACTCCAGGTGCCATTCCCACCATGATGGGGCAGTGATGTTCACATGGGCCCTAAACTTTCAAAAAGATGCCCAGATTTCGCACTAGAACAGATAAAAAATCAACGTGCATTATACACATTTTCCCAGTACCCACATGTAAAGTAATTCCATCCCTACTACAATCACATTTACTGAAGGCTGTGTGCCAGGTACCTAAGTATACTGCATATGGTAAATTGATTTAATCTCCATGGCAAACTATGAGACAAATTATTACGATCTTCACCTCACATGTGAAGAAACTGAGGTACACAGAGTCACACAGCTAAGCAAATGGCAGAATTGGGATTTAAATCCAGAGAATCTGGTCTCAAAGCCTGCACTCTGATACAGTTTTCAGAATGCTGACAAAAACATTATTATAGAGATAATTTACTCTAACATATTTAAAAAACTATTATTTGAAAACTATCTTGTTATTCATAATAAATTACATAAAATGTATCTCACAATTGATGGACTCACTGGATCTTTACTAGAACTTCAACAACATGTAAGAACCTAAATCAATGTCTTAAGTGACTCCAAATTACCTAACAGTTTTAACCTAACTGGCGAAAATGGTTTCAGAATTTCTGCTTTCCTACTCAAAATCATTTAAAGTGAAAACTTTGTTTTTCCATTACTTGATTAATTTTCAATAAAATTTTGTTGCCACAAACTTTCTGTGTTTGAATTAGCCTGAAGTTCTCTATGGTATGAAAACTCAGTACTCTACTTTCAAAATGTTTATTATCAAGGAATCAGACTCTTTGAAATCCTGGTGTTGCTTAAGGAAAAGTTAAAACTGAAAGTAAAAAAGGTGGCCTAAGCTTACAGAATTGTGATATAGCCAGACAGAACTTCAGTCTTTTGATGTGAAAGCTATTTACTACTCTAATGAGGAAGATATACTGGTTTGAAAAGCTAATTAAATTAATTAGAAGTTTCAGGTACCTGAGGTGTAAGATCATGCATTATATAAAAGGTACTCTCAAGGTGAATTTAATTTTCAGAAATTGACTTGAATGAAAATTTAGCCTTTGAAATGTCTCTTACAGAAGATATAAATAACAAAGAAATGGTTTACGAATTGCATGTTATGTAGCTTTATGAATGACATTCAATAAGCATATCAGAATGCAATAAACAGAAATATAAATACAACTTTATAGGGGAAAAAAAATCCAGTTTCACTTACAATACCGTTATGGTCTGAATGTTTGCACCTCTTTTGCACTAATCCCCAACTCATATGTTGAAACCTATTCCCTGAGTGTGATGGTACTGGAGCTGGGGCATCTGGGAGATGGGTAGCTCATGAGGGTGAAGCTCTCATAAATGGGATTAGTGCCCTATAAAAGAGACCCCAGGGAAATGTCTTGTCCCTTTCACCACGGGAGATGACAATAACCTAAGTTGCCTGTGAGGAAGTGGGTGCCTTGATCCTGGACGGCCCCTCCTCCCAGAACTGTTATTTATAAGCTGCCTGGTCTGTGGCATTTTGTCAGAGCAGCCCCAGTGAACTAAGACAATCACATTGTACTCTGAAAGTGACTCGTGATAGGTAGGTTTGTTCTTTAAAATTGAATTTAGTTCACCTCAAGGGTGATTCCATTTCAAAATACTCTATTTTAACAACTTCCTGCCTCTATACTGTTTAATTACAAAGTCAAGCAATGCCATCTACAGGAGACCTGTAGAATAACAGTCATATTTTTATGACCCACACTCTTTAAATGAATACAGTATCTGTAGTCTGAGTTAATATTGTATTTGGCATCATTTAACAAGGAAACTTTCCAGGAAAGGGGTAAGGAAAAGGTAAAAAGGTACGCTGTGTAAAAAAAACCCACTAACAATCATCCTGGATTATTAAGACTTCTCAAAATAATTTAAAATAACCTAACTTCACTCCCAAACTCACCAAACATATGATCCGTGGACTTTTGGTTATGAACTGTAGCAGGTTAAGATTTAAAGCTGTGTAACCTTAAAGACCTTGAAAATTACAACATACAGAGGAGACTCAAGTCATTAGCAGCTACACCTGTAACAGTTTCTTTTCCCAGCTCTTGAATTCCACTTTCCTCTTCAGTAGCGTCACCCTTACTTTCTTGGCCAGAATCTCTAAATTTTCAGATACTTAGTTTCTAAAGCCCTGCTTATTTTAAAACCCCCTATTTCATAGAAAATTCCGTATTAGATTCAAAGCTCTTTCCCTCCCTTTACAGTACAGACCCACTCTAATAACAGACAGTTTACTTTTATATTTCTTCCCCTTTCTTTGCTCTCTTCTTTGGAAGTAGATGCTAGAAGATATTTCCTTTTTGCAATACTTCTCAATTTAGGCTGAATGTTAAAACTATCTGGAGCACTTTAACAAAAATATCATGCCTTTTATTTAATTGGACTGAGATGGGACCTAAACATGGTTTTTGTTTGCTTTTAATTCTCCACGTTAGATTTAATTCTCCAAGTTTGAGGAATACTGCCTTACTGGAGGTGGGGGATGGCTCTCCAGTTGGCTATCACTGCATTGTGATAAGTGGCCTATGGGTTTCATTGTGCACAGCGGCAACCTCCACTCACCTGGAGGATCAGAGGCTTATTCCTAAGTTCCTCCTGGCGATGGCAGTCCCCTGGGATTTGAGAGCTGGTGCAGCTGGACTGACCCCCAGCTAGTGGCACCACACCTCACTCATCCGCTGCACCCGTCTGTTTTTAACCTCCCCGTGTTGCTGCAGGAGTCCTGTAGCCTCCAATTCACATATCAAATCCATCTTTAATACCTCTCCACTACCATTCCCATGCTCTGGAGTTAAACAACAGATGTGTTCATCTACTGGGTAAGCACAAATCCAATCAAGTGGAAAAAATGCTGGTCTCCCCTCCTTGGAGGCATCCTGGATCTTGAATTATTCCCTCAGGCCTCCATCCTGTGGTTTGTGAGTATAGAGGCACCCTGTTTCCTCCCTCAAGAGAGAGCCCAAAGGACTAAATCCCCTTCCCCAACACTACACCTCTCCGAAAGACCTCTCCTAGGCCTCCCCAGCTGTCTGTGGGATGGTGAAGGTGATAGGGTGGTGTCATATGATCTGGCACCCCTTAGTAAGCCCTACAGTGCTCACTGGTTCTAATCACCATGGCTCTCTGATCTTAGAATGTGGGGGATTGGTATCTTTTAACCACTACTTTGGCCTTATGCCAGTATAAGAAAAAAAATCCCACTTGACTTTGTTACAAATCAGTCAGTACAACAGGTCAGCTCCCCAGGAACAGATGGCAAAGGATGTATGCAAATGACTTATTAAGGAGATGATAAGTCAAGTAAGAAAGCGAGAACAGGACAGGAAAGGGGAGGAAGCACACACAAGCAAGGGTGTGATTCTGGCAAAGTTGCATAGAGCCCGACCCCAGCCCCACCCCTCCAGGAAGTTTTGGAGTATACGGTGTGCCTGTCCGAGGTAAAGGAGCTAGGTTTTCATTACAGGAATGTCAAGGGGCACTTCAGGCTGAAGACCCTTAGGTACTGTATTTTCGAAGTACAGTGAAAGGGGGAGGAAGGTGAAAGGGATCTGAGGAATCTGGATGGACTACCATAGCTGGTCAACAACAAACTAATTTCTAAAAGTTCTGTTATGAAATAAGCTAGAAAGTGGTCCTTTGTTCTATGACTTCACTAATAATACCTGATATTATCTGTAACTAACAAAGTATCATACAGTTAGGTTACACTAACTACTTAGTACGCTGAGTAATAAAATGCTAAGGACAGTATGAATAAAGTAATTTTGAAACAAACAGAACAAACTTCAAAGATTGAAGTAAGCCTGATGGAAAGAACTGTTCTCTTGATGTTAATCTTTAATTTCTCTAAATAGGGCTGCTTTTGCTCTTTCTGGAAAGCGGTCACCTGTTTTAAATTCTCCAAAGCTATTTCTGAAACATTCACAAAGTCACAGGATCTCAAAAACAATGTTTATTTTAACACATAAAATGTGCCACCTAGCACCAATGCCTGTAAGTACTAGAATTCCATCTGGTTACTATTACGCTTTGGAACCAGTGTGACTGAAGTCCTTGACAGATCAGTCTGTGAACAGATGATTATCATGAGAACATAAAACAGAGAATACAGAGAACCAAAATCACTTAGTAAATGTATACAGAACTACATTGGTAGTTGTTTAAAAACTTCTCTCTGCTTCCTATAAACTAGGGATTTTAGCCACATTTTCGTGGAAGACAGACATGAGGAAACGTGCATAAGCCACGTAAGTGCATGAGCCTGAAGCTGGGCTTTTTATTCTCACTCCATTCCCAAATAAAAATTTTTGTAAAGATATCTTTTCCTCCCTCCCAATCTCCTGATTCCTAGCTTTCATCCTTACCAAATGACTACAGTATAATTTACTACCTAATTCACGTAGACATGTATGGTGGAGAAAAAGAATAGAACTTTGGCCAATGTAAGTACACAAAATTTTTTTTTCATTTTTTTAAGTAAAAAACACTCAAGTATTAAAACTATCTTAAAAGCAAAGAGATGGAAGATATATATGATAAAGACCAGTGCATAATTATATTAAAATGAAAATCTTCCTTTAAATTTATCTTGAAGACAAACTAAAATTTACTGGTTTACATTTAAACATTAGTTAATAGTAAGAGATCTCTCTCTTTAGAAAATGGATTAATTTATCTCTGGTTTCCTGAAAATATGCCAAGTCAACCATGCTACTTCACTGTTTATTTTTGGCAGACTTTAGGCTAACTTCAGTACCTATTTTTATTTGAGGAGTGACTGATAACACATTGTTTCTTTTAAGCATAAGTTGATTCTGAACTAGAAGTAAACTAAGTCAGATTTCAGGCCCATTGGCAGGGAGGCAGGCAGTCAGTCATTTTTCATATTGCAGGTAGCCCATGGTGATTGTCTATATATCAGACCCCTAAGGACATGCTGGAAAAATCTGTGAACACAATCTTCCCATGCTGTATTCACATGCTCCATTCACATTGTTAGCTTACCCACATTGTTAGAGGCTTGGGTAAGATGACTTAAAGATCTCACGATGGAAATTTCTATAAGAAAAAAATGGAAACTTTAAAAGATTGAGTCCTTAACACAAATTAAGTATTTACTGGGTACTTAATGCTAAGTAAGATGCCTGGTAATGGCTAAATGCAATTCAAATGAACAACCATGCATAATATTTAGAGGTGGTTCTTTGTTGATGCCTAAAGTACAAACAACCAAAGGGAAAAAAAAAAAAACAAACATGCATCGGGCATCAGAATTAAAAACCTCAGTGCTTCAAATGACATACTATCAAGAAAACATAAGGACAACCCACAGAATGGGAGAAAGTATTTGCAAGTCATGTACCTGGTACATGGGTCTGGTATCAAAACACATAAAGAATGTTTACAACTCAACAGTGAAAAGACAAACACCACAATTTAAAAATAGGCAAAGGATTTCTGTAAAGATGTACAAATGTCCAATAAATACATGAAAAGATACTCAAAGTCATTAGGGAAATAAAAACTACAATGAGATTACCACTTTGTATCTACTAAGATGACTACAATAAAAAAGATGGACAACAACCATCAATAAAAAAATGAGGATATGGAGAAACTGGAATCCTTAGACATTGCTGGTGGGAATGGAAAATGGTAATAGCAGCTTTGGAATACAGTTTAGCAATTCTTCAAAAAGTTAAATTATGAGTGAGCAATTCTACTCTAGGTATACATACACTCAAGAAATTTGAAAACGTGTCATACAAACATTTTTACATGAATATTCACAGGAACATTATTCATTAGAGCCAAAAAGTTGCAACAACAGAAATGCCCATTAACTGATGAATGGATGGATAAGATGTGGTATATCCATACAAAAGAACATTATTCAACTATAAAAAGAAGTGACTTGCTGATGCATGCTATAACATGGAAGTATCTCGGAAACACTGCTGAATGAAAGAAGCCAGACATAGGAAGCCACAGTGTGTGATTCCATTTGTATGAAATGTAGAGAACCAGAAAATCCAGAGATATAAATTGGTGGTTACCAGGGGTTAGGGGAGGTAGGAATAGAAAGTAACTGCTAACAGGTATGTGGTTTCTTTTTGGATGATGATAATGTTTAAAATTAAAAAGTGGTAATAGTGGTCCAATTCTGTGAATATACTACAAACCACTGAATTGTAAACTTTAATGTATGTAAATTATATACAGTTAAAAAAATGATTCTTTGCAGAAAAAAGTCTTCATATTTAGGAAATACAAAATCTTCATGCCTCAAAAAAATTTCTACTTTTAAATCTATACAACAGCTTCAGCTAAAACTGGATCTCTTAAGGCATAAAATATTTTTAAGTTCTCTTTTTATCTCCAGCACCATGCCACATAATAGCTGATCTGAATTACTAATCCCCACTGCTCTTCTTTCCTTTTGTCCCAATACCTAGTCTTGATTCCAAAAATCATACATTATTTGTTTTTGGCTAGAAATTCACATGATCAGAAAACTTCATCAAAAACAAATTCAATCAAAGGCAAGATACTAGAGACAGGTGGAACTTATTAAATTCAGCATCCTCATTTCATAAAATTAATCTTGCTCCTGTCTTACACAAGCTACACACAGAAGGTGCTGGGGTAGAAAAATGGATGAGATACAATTCTTCCTTTCTACAGATCAAACTCTCAGCATTGGAGAGGCAATGTGCATAAAATGTAACTGTAACAGGTAAAAGCAGCAACAGAAAAGGGAAATATATATAAATTCTATCTAACTGAGTACATTCTTCTTTATCGGATAGATCTCCCTTCTTACAGTTTACTTTGACTATTAAAAAAATTTGAACGGTTGGAGGAAGTTCACAAAGGTCAGAACTGGAATTTTAAGATCTCTAAGGGATAACAGAGACTTATAAATAGCAAAGTTATTGTCTGAGGTGATGCCCAGTTACAGAGCCAAATAACTTATAGCTGGAAAGAACCTTGACAAGAAGCCTGCCTTAATTTAGAGGAAGAACCCCAGGCCAGTTAAGTTAGGCAATCTTAACAGTAAGAGTTAGTGCCTGAGTCGTGAATCATCGTAGCTGTTTCCCCACATGAAAATTAACATCTATACTACACATAAGCTCAGAGACAGAGTCCAGATAATATTACTTCAGCAAGAGGATGAAGAACTGAAAATGTAATTACCGATTTTTTCTTTCTGATATATAAAATGTGAATATCTTCGCTTCGATATTCTTCATCGTGTTTTTCCAAAGGAATTTTTTCAAAGTCAAAGTCTAGTTGAAGGAGCTATAAATTTAAAAGAGATATACTTCAAATTCAATAATATTAACTATCCTGTGGTGACAGAAAATCAGAATGGTAGTTACCTTTAGAGTACTGACTAGGAAGGAGCACGTGAAAAATTCAGGTAAGCACTTGATATGTGCATTTTACACATTCTTCATATTCAAGAAAAACATGAAAATAAAAAACTCTCTCACCATATACCTCAGGCAGTCATGAAAAGTCACTTTACCCAAAGTAACCCTTTCAGAAGGTAAAACTGCAAGGTTATAAAGATGTATCCTTAAGAGGAGTCACTTGTGATGGATTTTTGCCTATAAAAAGGGTTTGGTGACCAATGGAGGAAGATGGGTAAAAGATACTTGGGACTCTATCTGCGAATTCTGCAACTTCCTGTGGGCCTTCAATTCTTTCAAAAGAAAAAAAAAAAGAAAAGAAAAAAACCTCAAAACAGATTGGGTATCTTGGTCAAAGCTATCATAAAAATATAGTGGAAAACACTGAAATAAAAATGTACTACATATCATTCTCCAAAAAATAACATAAACATCATTAATATGTCCCAGAAAGCCAGTATCATGTTTAATAAAGAAACACTGAAAACTTTCTCAGGAAAGACAAGGGTGTCATATTACTATTTTACATTGTTTTACAGATACTAGATTAACAAATTAGAAAAAAAAATAAAGGATCAGAAAAGATTAAAAATGGGGAGGGGGACAGTTATCAGAATGGTGTGCTGTGAAGGATCCTCTCCTTGGGTTCATATAAACAGAATGTTTTCCCCACTCAAAATTGCCATAATACACTTGAACACAAAATCACACATAGCCTCCCTGAAGGGTAATCACTACAAAGAGACCTAGTAGAGTACTCACCTCAAAATATCTTTTTTCAATTTCTGGATTTTTCCCCATTGTTCGTTGTTCATAACAACATATAATACAAGTCTCAGATCCACTGAGATCTTTTAGGGTTTTCAACAGTGGCTCCAAAGACTGTTCAAAAAGGAATATAATTTTTGTTTACAACTTATAAAAATTTGTATTAATAAAAAAATTTATATGGGAGCAGGGGAGGTAGAGTGGATAATTATAACTCTCCTACAACTTATCCATCTTTGAAAACAATCCAACAAAGTACAATAGTTAAAGCTCTGTAACTGATGATTGGTAAACTCTTTTTTTTTTAGAATTTTTTTTTAATTAAACTATAGTTGGTTTACAATGTTTGTTAGTTTCAGGTGTACAGCAGTGATTCAGTTTATATGTATATTTTTTCATATTCTTTTTCATTATAGGCCCTTACAAGGTATTGAATATAGTTCCCTGTGCTCTACAGTGGGACCTTGCTATTTATCTATTTTATATACAGTACCTAGTATCTGCAAATCCCCAACTTCCAATTTATTCTCTTTTACGGCTGAGTAGTATTCCACTGTCAATATATATCACAACTTCTTTATCCAACTGATGACTGGTAAACTATTCTTAACTAACCATTGTATTGATTTCAGTTTCCAGAGAAAGGATTCAAATGACTGCATTCTGGAGTTCCCATGGGTAAACAAATGGAACTGACTGCACTCTTAAAATTTTATTTGATTTAACTTGGGATTTAAACAATCAACAATCTACCTACAAAAGCAAGCCTAACTCTAATTTGAACAAATGATGGTTCAATGCTCACTATTTAAAAAATGAGTGATGCCCACAACATTATATAAACTGATACTTAAAAAAAAATTCTATAAATATAATAAATCTTGCCACAATGAATTCTTTATGATGCAACTTATTAATGTCATGTTTAACATGTTAACTAAGACTAGCTAAGCAAAAAAAAAAACAAAAAACACACCAAAAAACCTTAAGTTTTTCATAGGAGATCCAAATGGCAAAATCCTTCAAAAATTTTACAGAAGCCTCTAGTAAAACGCACTTGGCACTTTTCTCAAGGTGCTTCAATGGCCTCTATGTTAATCATGAGGGTATATATGTAGTCCTTGGTGACCTTTACTTTCTCTTTATTGTGTCATCTACTATAGAACAAACATCCTGTATTAAGAGATGTTAAAATGCGAGGAAATGCATACTTTAGAATCCACGAAATACAGTACATCTTCTAAACGAAGAGACGTCACTCATTAAATACTCACCTCTTCATAGTATATGCAGTCAGCCATCAGTATGTAGTCTGGCGGAGAAGGAAAGTCTTCTATTTCTTCCCCCCTTAAAAATGTCAACCAAATATTTTTAACTGTTGCTTTAATAATTTAAAATGTTCTTGTTTAATAAACAAGACCCAGAAAGTCCCCTTTGTATTAATCATGCTTTTAGTGAAACATAGTTTAAAGCAAACTACAAATCGTTCTCTTAAAACAAGCTGAAAGGCCATACAAACCATTTCAGTACCTTGGCTTGAATAGAACCAGTGACAAGATGCTTGTTCATATTAATATTCATCTTCAGCAAGTCTTGCAATTCTTCAAGATCAGTAACTACGACATTTGCCCTATAAAATAATGTCGATAGAAGTGTAGGCACAAGGGTGGGAAGCAAGTAATCGGGTTTCCCGAACAAAGCGGCGTCCCTTCCCTCCAGCTCTTACCCTAGGGTAGCAGCCATGAGCCCCACGGCCCCGGTGCCGGAGCCCAGCTCTAGCACCGACCGCCGGCTCAGTGCGTGGGCCCCATCTCCGGAAAACCCGGGCGTTTCCAGGTATTTAGAAAGCACAATGGCAGCGTCCCAAACAACGCAACCCACACCGCCAGAGCCATACTGCTGCAGTCGTAACACCGTGCCATCTCGCTTCTCCAAAACTCTCACGAAGTTCCACAATGTGTCCTCCCCAGAGGACTCCAGAGTAGCCGCCATCGCTGCCCAGCAACAAGATGTGGCGCACACACTGACGTCATACTCGAGCGCACCACACCGCGACCCCGCCTTGCAAGGGGTCAGACGCCTCCTGGTGGCAAGGCTGGCGCCAGAGCGCATGCGCGAATGCACAAAGCCCGGAAAGCAGCGTGGCTTCCCCTTGGCGTGGGATAACCTCGTTCTCCCCTAAATTACAAGTCTAGCTTAAAGAAAAGGCAGTTTTAACCATTTTCCCAGACAAAGCTAGTATCTTTAAAAAAAAAAAAAAAAGGCAATTTGAATGTTTTCACTTGGTTGGAGAGTGGTTTACACAGTAGTTACTCGCCTTAAATCCAGGCAGTTTCCAAGATCCCATCAAGGATGGTTTATAATCCTGTTTATGAAGAGTTTCCTAACATGCTCCTAATTTTTCATCTGAATGTATAAAAATAGTTGCAGGAAGCTTGTCGATTGCGTTTAACAATGAAGACAAAGTTACCCCTCTAAAGTATACATCACTTAAATTCTTTGGGACTATGAAATTTAAATTGCACAAAATATTGGAAGTGATGTGTGTATACATTATTTCTACAGAACTCAACAATCTTACCTCCTTGTTCCTTATAGTGAAAACACATATTTAAAAAGTCTTCTAAAAATTTAGACTGGGGTGATTTATTACTCTTGTTAGGAACTCTGATACAAAGCACAGTAGAAGGCCAGAGACCAGTAATAACGTGGCTTTTGGCTACTTTACAATTGCTGCTACTGCTCGAGGAGCAAAACACGCTTTTTCATCACTTTGAAGGAAGGAGTCCAAATGGCAAATAAAAGTTTTACTCACTTCTCTGATTAAAAAGTTTAATAAAGCTTTAATTATTTGCTGGTTTAAATATTACCAATCTAAAAAAATACTTTAAAAATTCTTAGTTAACATGAGATTTATAGAGAAAGTTACTAGGTTTTGAAGACAATGCAGTTGGTTCCTATGCCATAAGAAACTTATCCTCCAAATTTACGAATTAGTAAAGTAGCAGACTGTATTATAGGCCTTGAGTCACATAAATTTATATAGGTTATTAGCATTATCTTTAAATATACAATATAAACAAAACTGTACATATATGGCATATTAACTTTGTTTTCAAAACAATAGGCAACTCGTTAGCTAAAGACACCATAGTCTGCAAAAACCTAAAGGCACATCTGTATAAGATATATGCCCTTTTTTCCACTATGATTGGGTTAGGTAGTCTGTTTACATTTTGACAAAATAATAAACACAGTGCATTCTATTATTTTCATTCTATTTTTCATTTTTGTCTTCAGCAGCAAATTCTGGCATTTAAGACATGGCATTAAAGAGTTTAAGTACAGTGGGTGTTATTCACGATTTTCCTAAATGTAAAAACTAGACATAAAAACTAGAAGATGGTCAAAGAGGCTTTAAAATCAGTATCACCACACACCCCCTATATGTGTGTAAATTCACTGCCTTAAAAAGTCATCTATTATTCAAATTTGAAAAATTCCACAGATGCACTATCCCCTTTCAGTGCAATCAATGTTACTTGAAACCATATTTTAGCAGAGTCTACAGTGCAAATATAAATTCTTTATACTGGCCTTTTGGCAGCACTGAGGTTCCAAGAGAAGGCAATGCTACTGATCACCTGAGGATAATGGTAAAGGACTTCTGTATTTTTATTTTTCGAATTTTTAAAAGCTTATTTGATCAGTAGCATTTTTGTAAGAGCATTATTTTTAAAAAGTACTAAAATACTATGCCTTTTTTGAATAAATTAAAAAAAACAACTTTACAAATACCATTCCAGTGTCAATGACTACATATGGCTAAAGGTCATTGAGGAGTTTCTGCATTTTCTAGCAAAGGCAGTCTATACAATGGGGGGTGCGAGAGCTCCCGTTTGTAAGTCTTTGGTGGCAGTTTTGGTAGGTGAGGGCTTGAATTCTGCCTTGGTGGAACAGGGGGAGCCTGAGGATGAGCAAGATTATTTTGACTAGAACTGAGCACGTAGCATCGACGTGGTACCCTTGGAGAGGGTGTGCTAGGAGGAGTGTTTGGAGAGTTTGGACACGTACTAACATCTCTGAACCAGTCTGGATCTCTGTGAAGATGTCCCAGTGGAGGCGGCTGAAGAGTAAATGGACAGTTTATAAAGTGTTCTGGAGGCCGAAGGGGAACCGGTGGAGGGGTATCAGGAAGAGGATCTCTCGGCGGCGGTGGAGGTGGACTATGCAGAGGCCCGTCCAATGCACCAGTAGGAGCAGGAACTCTGGGTTTTACCTTTGGAGGAGGAGGTTGTCTTGGTGGAATAGCAGGGGGGTCATCATCAGATTTCATATTTCCCTCAAAAAAAAAAAACACAAAAACTAAATCATACCTCTGTTCTGAAAAAAATCTGTAAGAAAAAGTTTTCAAAAGACTGAAAAATTCTCATGTGTTAAAACTTAAACCCAAAGGCCCAAAATAGGTTAATCTGGTTTAATGATCAAATTTATGACTAAATTACTCCCAGTTTCACTCAGGGCTCAGTTTAATATTTTTATATATGAGATGTTTCAATTGAAATCTTAGAACATAAAGACTCAGATTATCTTGCTTTGTATATACAGTTCATAAATTTATGCATTTTAAATATAATAATGAGCAAGTGAGTGAAAAGAATATATAGCTTTATAGACATAAAAGGACATGATGTCAAGAGGACTTAATATCCAGCTTCTTCTTTTTGTCCATTTACTTCTCTATCCTCAGTGAGGCTGAGAGCAGCAGTTCTCAAGGCGTGACCCAGGGATCAACAGCATCAGCACTAGCAGGGAACCTGTTAGACATGCAAATTCTTGGGCCCCACCCCAGACCTACTCAATCAGAAACTCTAGCCATCTGGTTTTAACAAGCCTTCCAGGTGCTTCTGATTCAGTCTAAAGTTTGAGAAGCACCTGCTGAAAGTCTGGAGAATGCTTAGAACACTAAAGTTCTTTCCATCTCTACCAGAAATAAAATGTACTACTTCTGAGTATCTGTGAATCTGCCCAGCTTCTTTTTTAGAAAAAGTATTATGAGGATTAAACAATTATTTAAAGTGTTTCCCAAATAAAACAAACCAAATGTTTAAAACCATAAAGGGTGAGCCAAATTATAATTCAGACTCTTTATAAAAGAAAGCATTATTTTGAAGATTTGCAATTTTGAGTAAGTCGAAGCAAACCTAAGTCCTGTTGACTACCTTGGAATTTGAAGCATCGTGATCAAACTTTTTTCGAGGAGGAAGTGGAGGAGGAATCAGTGGCTCTTCACTTAGTTTATGTAAACTACCACACGAACTGAAGAAAGACTCTGGGGGTTAAAAAAGATTAGTTTAAACCACAACTCACAGTGCAATCATAAGACAAAAATTTATTTCAATCTGTGATCACCTTTGCTATGGGATCTGTCAGACTGTACTGTAGCTGGCTGTTGGTTTAGCTATCCTCTCCATTAAGGCGTATGCTTTTTGAGGGCAGGGTGTATTTATTTTCACATCCACAGCACCTAACAACAGTGGTAGTGCCTGGCACATGTTAGATGTTACTGCTAAATGAGGATATACTATTTAATGAAGATTAAGAATGAGATTCGGCTCCCTGAAAAGCCTTTTTAAAATCTAAAACAGGTAAAACAAATATATTTGTTTGTATAAACTACAGTAAGTTGCAGAGAGTGATCATCCATAAATAGAAACCATGCATTTTTAAAGCGGCTATTATTGGATACATTTCTACACAGGTAATTATCCCCATATAGGAGATCACAGGGTAGGGCTGTATCACAGAACCCTTTTCTTTGTAAGTCTCTCATTGATAATCAACACGCTACATAACCACAGTAAAGGAAATTTACAAAATAATAAAGTATTAGAGGAAAAACTACCCCTAAACATGCCAACCAGACATAGAATAAGAACTATTTTCATTTCTTTTGGTTAAAAAAATACCTGTAACTATGGACCAACTTCCCATTTGATATCTCTTTCCACACTCAACTATTATAAAGGCTGACCATGTCTTGCTTATCATTACACTGAGACTGGGTTATAGGAGCTAGTTGGGAAAGAAGTTGGTGAGTTTAATTTCAAACACACTGACTGTGTGTAAACTGCTTATGGGACATCCAATAAAGATGTCACTCATTACTCCATGTCAAAAATTGCTGTCCTTGTGAAAAGGAATATATGTATGACTGAAACATTATGCTGTACACCAGAAATTGATGCAATATTGTAAACTGACTACATTTCACTTTAAAAAAAGAAAAGAAAAAAAACTGCTGTCCTGACTATGTGACTCTGCAGTCACCTCAATGGGTCTTGTTGGCTCAAAGTGCCAATAGCAGAAACAAAAAGTATGCCTATGGGGTGTTGGCCGGTGGTGTGAGGAGGTTAGATGGATTACTATCTGCTGTGAATATGTTCCTTTTGCTTATGTAGCAAACTCTGCATTGTCTTTGAGAGAACTCCCCTTGGTGATGGTGAATCCATCCCATATGGTTTAGTCAGCCAGTTCCACCCAGGGCATCCTAATTCCAGTAAAGGAGTAGACAAGGGACTTGTTCTCTCACTTTCTCTTAACATGATCAGATTTTTATTTACCTCTCTTTCAGGCATGTTAGCCATGTGCTTCAGTGAAAGCTGACCATACCCCTAAGCTCCTAAGATGGGGCCTGGTTAGACCATTCCCTCAGCCAGAGTAATTGGTTTAGCTGTTGGCACAGGACTTAATTCAACTACTGAAATTTGAAAGGAAGTTTGCTAGAGGCTACCGAAAAGGAAGTTCCTTGCTCTTTTGGAAAAGCAATCTATCTTTCTCTGTACCTCTCTCTCTCTTTCTTATTTGACTGAACAAAGAAGCACACAACTTTTATTGCTCCTGCCACCACTCTTATGGTCTTGAGGGGAAACAGTCTTAGATAAAGCTGATAATCTGGACAAAACAATGAGTCAAAATGAAACCTGGTCTTTAATAACATCATTGAGCCACTAAATCAATTAGTCTTAAAGCAGCCTTCCTCCAGACTTCAATTACGTGAATCAGATGTTTTCTTACTGTTTAAGGGAGACATAGTTGAGTCTTCTCTTCCTTACAGAAACACATACACTCATGGAAGCAGAAAATATCTTAATGATAGTGGGACAGCTGTGAAAGATTCTGTATCTGAGTCAGGCCACTTAACCACTATGTATGTTTCCCCAGCAGGCACTCAATAACCCTTGTTGAAGTGTGAACTTCAATTTTATTTTCTATTAAGAGTATTTCTCTACAAGATTATACACTTTTTGTGAGCATTTTAAATAACTTCAGTATTCCAAAGTAGGATTATTTACTGAATGATTTCTGTAATGTTAGTTAAGTTACTTCCAATTTTTACCATTCATTCATCCATCCATTCAACAAACGTTTACTGGGTATCTGCTGTAGTGCCAGACACTCTTCTAGGCACTAGTGATGTAACAGTGAACAAGAGGCAAAAATTCATGTCCTTATGGAACTTATATTCTAGGTTGATAAGAGAGAATAAACATGATAATTAAGTAAAAGTATAATGGATGATTTAAAAGAAGAAATGTTAGGTAGGGAAAAGGGAGCAATTGTAAACAGGGTGATTGGGGAAGGCTTCACTCAGGTAACACTGAGCAA